TTGCACCTCCACGCCAGCCGCTCCGTGACCCACCTCCCTGCTCCGCATTGCGGCGGGCGCACAGGGATCTCTCTGCTCAGGCGGGCACGATCCTGGCACCCATCAAGGTCTCCTCTCCCTCCTCAGACCCCCCTGCATCTCCCTGTCTCCCTTCCAGGCTCTGGAAGGCACCCGGGCTGCCCCAGGCCGTGGACATGCTCAGGCCCGGCTCAGACAAAGCTGGACAAGCTCTGACAAACCAGGCCCGAGACAAAGCAGTTTGTATCCGGCTCCCATCATCAGGAGGCGGCGGCTTTGGGGCAGGAAGAACACACACAAACACGGGAAGGGGTGGGTGGATTTTGCAACCCCAAGCCTGCTCCTTCCATGAGGGTCACAGCCAGCACCTCCCGCTGCCCTGCGGCAATGCTCTCACCACCCTCCGCCCCCCAAAACCCTGGGAAAAGGACAGGAATGTGAACGGTGCTTGCCCCTCCATGAGCTCCACATCACAGCAAAGATGAATCCACTTCCCTGCTCTGCGCCATGCAACAGGCTCCAGCAGGGAAAGCCCCCTCCTCAGGGAAGGTCTGGGTGCTCCGTAGTGCCAGGAGGATCCACTCGTGCCCAGGGACTGCTCAGTTCCCGGCTGAGCAAAGGCCCCTGCAGCAGCTTGTCCTGGGGATGCCAGACTCCCCCCACCCCATGCCCCCAGAGGCAAGTCCAGATCCCTTCGCGCTCCCTTTTTAAGAGAAAAGGCAGATTTGGGTAGTTGAAGCAGTTCTCATTGCAGCGCTGGACGAGATCCACTCCTGCCTTCCCAGGGAAACAGCCGGATCTCACGGTCACCCACCGCAGCCCCCGCAGCGGCTCTGCCCCTCTCCAGCCACAGCTGAGGGCCCAGGCAGCATCTCCCGTGTCCCTTGGGCCAGGAAAACGCCCCCGGAGCGCTGCAGAGGCTCAGGATTTGCAGGACCACCCGGGGGTGGCCAAGGCCTGGCCGGCTTGGGAGCGCCCTCACTGCGGCTGCGCTGCCGCCCTGCGCTGCGCCGGCGCCTTCTGCAGCAGGGCCAGCGTGTCCCGCTTCTCCAGCCGCCGCAGCTGCTTCTTCTTGGCCCGTTTGAGCTTCAGTGGGTTCCGGATCTGGCAGGGAGGAGGAAACGGCAGTTTTGAGAGACCGCGCTGGGGTCAGGCTCCCACCCTCGTGTCTCCCATCCCAGCAACAAGGATAGAAAATCCCAGGTCAAGCTGAGAGCAACCGGCAGGAGCCAGGCCCCGCTGCGCAGATCCCAGGATTTTCTTCTTCTCGCTGCCAAACACAGGACCTCGCAAAGGCCAGAGCTCGTGCACAAAACCAGCTGCGTTTGTCATTTGCCTGGTCACCTCAGTGCTCCCCTGAGCAGCCCTCAAAGCCCCCCAGGAAAAGAGGACAAAGCAGGGAATGGGAGGCTTGGAATAAGCCAGAAGCCAGGATCTTGGCACAGACAGGTCTGTGAGGACGCGACGCCCTGCGTGCCTGCACGGTGCTCCAAGGTGCCACTCACCACTTGGACGATCTCCGCTTTCCGCTCGTTCTCCAGGCGCCGTTTCAGGTTCTCCTCCCGCCTCCGCTTCTTTTCCTGTGGGAACAGCACAAGAAGTTTGCGGCCGCCCCTGTCCTTTGGGCTGGGGACACAGTCGAGGAAGCAGCAAGTCCAGGCGGAGGAGAGGAGGCACCTTCACCACCCACCATAGCCACGAGGAGCAACCACAAACTTGGCCCCCTTCCCTCGGCCTCGAGAACACCCTCCTTCCAAACGGCACATCCATAGGGAGCAAGCACGAGGCAGCAGCTTCAGGACACCCGTCCCCGCAGATCCGGGCTCGCGCCGGCATCGCTCGCCCACCGTCGCGCATCTGCCCACGAAGCCGAGCCCCCCGCAGGCTTTTCCCCG